AGGATGGCAGGTTAATGTTTTCCTAAGAGGCGCAGACTGCCAAATGGATCAGTGACGGAAGATACTGTAAGAGTAGAAAAAGGCCAGTCTGTTGAGATTATGAACATCAGTTTGTAGAAACTATGGTGTCATTCTGTTGGCTCAGGACATGACAACCCAAACCCATTCCAAAGCTTTGATCTTCCCAGTGGCAGGAGAATTCATTGCTGCAGTACCATAGATTGGCAGAAAGTGTTGCTCATTGCTTTACAATTGATCTTACTCTTTTGATATTAAATCTCTAAAAATCCTAAACTGTTTGAATTCTTCTAGGGAACTGAGAATGATACTTTGATTTTAATTATCTCCAAGTGAAAAAGGGTGGAAGAAAATTGGTCTATGTCAGAAATCATCCCACATTCAGAAGAATCAGTCAGCAAGCTTCCAAAAAACTCTAGCATTTGAAGCATTCTTGTATTGCAGAGAATCATCTTCTGCAGCTTGTAGGATGTTGAAGCCTCTTGAAGAGCTAATGAGGAAATATGTTTTAATTCTGATAGAATATAATAGTATATAAAGAACGCGCCTTCAAAAAAAGAAAAAATATGTTTTTTTAAATTCATACCCATTTAACCCAGCTCAGTCACTATACTATACATCACCAGTGAATTTAGTGAAATTTCACAAATAGTGAAACTTAGTTTCAGATCCAGAAGTCCAGAATTGTATCAAAACTCCCAGGTCGCATCTATATTATTGTGCACACGTGATTCCACAGGGGCAAACGGCAGCAGCATAATATATACCACTACTGCCTGCTCCTGTGGAACACCTGTGCATGCATGTTTTGGCATGCAGCAAGATGTCCTGGGTGGGATAGGGGAGGCTGGGGCCAGCACCTGAGTTTCAGGTGCTGAAGATCAGGTGGCACAGCCAGTTTCAAGTGGCACAGCTGCCAGAACCACCACCCCACTTTTTTCCACTGCGGATTTTTTTGACACAGGGATCTCCTGGTGTGAACCCCCCCCATGCTGCAGATTAGCACCTGGAATGCCTGCATGTGCAGCAAGTGCACTGTCAGTGCTGCAGATGAGTCTGTGGCACCACATACCACATGTGCATGCTCATCTGGATAAGCCCCCACAGTTTTGTTTTGGTCCAGTCAACTGACATGGGCTTCTACCATAAAACCCATAGTTGGATTCAATTTTTTTGGTAGTCTGTAACTACTGTAATGGTTTCTAATTTACAATAGATGATTACTGTAATAATGCATGTGTTCCATACTTACCTTTAGTCTTTTAATTTATACTACTACTGGGATAACGTAATATAATATAACCCGGGTACACCCAAGGGTGTGCCCTATTCATAATTGGATGGGATGGGTAGGCAGGAGGGGGTGCTGTGAGAGGGATGCCAGAATTTCGAGCAGATCCCTCTTTCCTCTATAGTTTCATAGTTGGTAGGGTCGGAAGGGACCTAAGTAGATCATCAAGTCCGACCCCCTGCCATGGGCAGGAAAGAATGCTGGGGTCAAACGACCCCAGCTAGGTGATTATCTAGCCTCCTTTTGAAGACCCCCAGGGTAGGAGCGAGCACCACTTCCCTTGGAAGTTGGTTCCAGATCCTAGCTGCCCTGACCGCGAAGTAGTGCCTCCGGATATCTAGCCTGAATTTACTTTCAGTCAATTTATGGCCGTTATTCCTTGTTACTCCCGGTAGGGCTTGGGGAAACAGGGACTCTCCCATAGCCTGCTGGCCCCCCTTGGCCAGTTTGTAGACAGCCACCAGATCCCCTCTCAGTCTTCTCTTGTGGAGGCTGAACAGGTTCAGGTCCAGTAGCCTCCGCTCGTAGAGCCTGCCTTCCTGCCCCCTGATCATGCGAGTGGCCCTTCTCTGGACCCTCTCGATGCTTTACACATCCCTCCTGAAGTGTGGTGCCCAGAAATGGACGCAGTACTTCAATTGTGGCCTAACCAGTGTTGCATAAAGGGGGAAGATCATCTCCTTGGACCTGCTCGTGATGCATCTGTGGATGCATGATAAGGTGCGGTTAGCCTTCCTGACTGCTTCCCCACATTGGCAGCCCGTGTTCATTTTGGAATCAATAATGACACCAAGATCCTTTTCTGCCTCTGTGCTGACGAGAAGGGAGTTCCGCAGCCTGTAGGTATGCTGCTGGTTCTTCCTCCCCAGGTGCAATATCTTGTACTTGTCCATATTGAAACTCATCCTGTTCTCATCCGCCCATCTCTGTAACCTGTCCAGATCTAGTTGTAGCCTGTCTCTCTCCTCCAGCATGCCCACTTCTTCCCACATCTTAGTGTCATCCGCAAGTTTGAACAAGGTGCTTTTCACCCTCTTGTCCAAGTCACTGATGAAGATGTTGAACAGTGCAGGCCTGAGGACCAAGCCCTGGGGGACTGCACTGCCCACATCCCTCCAGGTTGAAAGAGACCCGTCCACCACCACCCTCTGGATGCGGCCCTTCAGCCAATTTGTGACCCATCTGACTGTATAGGCATCGACGCCACAGCCGCCTAATTTCTTAATGAGAATGGGGTGAGAGACAGTGTTGAAGGCCTTCCTAAAGTCCAGAAAGACTACGTCCACTGCAACACCTGCATCCAAGGATTTTGTGACCTGGTCATAGAAGGCCGCCAGGTTGGTCTGACAGGACCTGCTTCGAATGAACCTATGTTGGTTGCCCCTAAGCATGATCCCTCCTGCAGGTCCCTCGCAGATGTGCTCCTAGAGTTAGCCCAGGCCCAAAGTTCTTAACTATATACAATTTATTGAGTTATAATATACATAAACATAAAACTAAATATCATATACATATATTTACACAGTGAACATTAATCAATAACCAAGGTCAAGCCCTAAATAATACTATTTACAACATTACAATACAACATTTCAATTACAAAATATAAGGTGCAAACATGAACAATCTTAATAACACCTATTCCTTAATATAGTCCCTGACTCATGGCAAGAGGTAGTCCTCCTTCCAATGGGCTCCCTTGTGGGGGCTGTCCAGGAAAAACCAGGGGCCCCTCCCCTTAGGGCCTTGGCTAGGCGGGGGGCTGCTCACCTAGCCCCTTCTCTGGGTTTGCCCACCCCAAATGTCTTTCCCCAGTGGGACCCAAGGGCCCTATGACTCATGCTCCTTCAGGTGGTGGTGGTCAGGGCGCAGCTCGATGGGGTCTCCTATGCTGGAGCATATCTTCAGGCCTCTCCCGCACTGCTGGGCTCCTCCCCACTCTCAGCTGCTGCACCACCGCTGCTGGCTTCTGGGGGCTGGGCCTCATGCTGCAACACTACTATTTCCCCATGCCCTGGCTTTGGCACCAAGGGCTCTTTTAGCACAGGCTGGGCCCTTCAGGCTCCGGCTGGCCATCCTCACGCTGGGTGGCTAACTCAGGCAGCCTCTGCTGCTCCCTTGCTCCCAAGGCTCGGGCCTGTGCACCGCCCTGCACACCGTGCGACCTGGCTGTTTGCTGGGAGATGGGGCCTGAGCTGCCTTACTACAGCCCCAAGGCCTTTGCCCCATGCTCTGCCCTGTGCACTGTGTGGATGCTGGCCCTGCCGGGGTTGTGGCTCCCGAAGCCTGGGCTCAGTGCACTGAACCACGCACTGTGATTGACCTGAGCAGTCTCACACCACTCCCAGGGCCGGGTCTCCGTGCACTGTCCTGTGCGCTGTCAACAGCCCAAGTGGTCTCGCACCACTCCCAAAGCTGCTCCTCCAGGGGTAGCTTCAGGAGCCTTGGGCCTATTGCCTGCTGGGGAAGAGCTTCCCAGCTTTTCTTAGCTCCACTCTTCTTGAGTCCCTTGCTGCATCTGCCCCTTGTGCTGGGCATGCAGCTCCTTTTGTATGCTCCAGGGCTCCACCCCAAAGTCTTCTGGACCTGACAGTTTACAGTCTTCGATTAGGTCTAGGGGAGCTCTTTTCCCCCTCCTCTCAGGAAAGGAGCATGACTTTATTTCTCTTGCTGCCTCCTGATTGGTGGATGGGCTCTACCAATCAAAACAGCAGGATCTCAAGCCTGGGACTCAACCCAAGCTCTGAAAGGTGAGCCTGCTACAATAATATAATGTCTTTCATCCTATAAGTACTTTTCAAGTTGTGCTACTCTAGGAAAAAATATTGAGGCAGAAAGTTCTATGCTCTAACCTTTCGTCCCTTGCTAGCATAGGGCAAGGGTGCTTAACCCTCAGTCTGTGGGCCAGATTGGCCCCTGGAACCATGTGGCCCATGGGGGCAGCCCTGTAGGCCATGGCCATGCACACTAGATTGGGTGCACAGGGCAGTGCAGGACCCAATCCTAGGTCTTATAATCTATAAGTTAATAAATGTTTAACTGTGCTTTGAACAAATTAGTTAGAGATGCACAAATTTATGCCAACATAGAATTTGGCTCATAAATAGCTATATCAGTACTGTATTTTATTGCATTTTTATTGCATATAAAATGATTTCCTTCATTCCTGAAATACAATTATCTTTTGATTAAAATATGAATGATGGCTGGCTAATGGTGCATAACATTTTAGATGGGAGGTTAAGGATATATATATGAAATGGCAGGAAAAGGTACTTGGAGATATGGGCAGCGCTACAAGTAAAGCCTACCCACCCCTGTGAAAAATGTCATTACAATTTTAATCAGTACAATTTTAAAAAAAGCTAAAACTCTGACACAGTAATAGGTATTGTTTTCACATAAATCTTCCCTACTATAGTAAAATTTTTTTCTTGTTTACTTTCACACATGACAGTATCTATTTTCCTTTCATAGGCTGCTTGTACATGTCACGGGGTTTTAATTCAGTTTAGTTCTCCCTAAATTGAAACGGTGGGTTTTTAAAAACACTACTTCAATTTAGGAAGAATTAAACTGAACTAAACCCCTGTGGTGTGTACGCAAGGGTCGGGGCCAGATCCTTACCTGCCTCTTTGGCAGCACGTGCGGGGGATACAGCTGTCAGCAGGCCAAGTGGTCCCTGAGCTGCGTGGGGGCTACCCAGGTAGCACCTGCCTGCTGGTGCTTGGCTCAGGTGGTCCTGGGGGGTGCTGGAACTGCGGAGGGAAGCACCGCCCCCGCACAGCTACACAGGGAAGCACTGGGCCCCTGCACACCTCAGGCAGGGAGGCAGGCAGGCTCTGGGGAGAAAAGAAAAGAAAAAAAGATCAGGCTCAGCAAAAAAAAAAATCAGGCTTATAATTTTTTGTTATTTCTTCAGTGAAGCCTGCCAGCATGGGCTGCCACCAGGTCCCACAGCCCCTGAGCTGCGTGGAGCCTGCCAAGCCCTGAGCATGTCTGCTTCCAGCACCCTGTGCACTGTTGAACTTTGTTAGTTAGCAAACTAAAACACCTCCAAGGTGTTTTATCTTGCTACATATCAAAGTAATTTAAAGTGGAATATGCCGCCAAGTGTGCAAACAGGAAAGCCATTAAAGCAGTGTGAAAGGGCATTTAAGCCACTTTAAAGGCCAATTTTGTGGTGTGTACAAAGGCTCATAGTGATAGTGTTATTGTCACCTCGTATTTTGAGTTGCCTATTTATGCATCTCACATTTTAGAAAAAAAATCAAATTTAGTTGAATATTGGTATATGTTTCACATAGTCATTTTCCCCATACCATAGTTATGTATTATACTGAATGCAAGTGTATTATGATGTCTGACAGAAGCCTAATATTTTATTTCCATCTTGCACACACGTTAGGTAGATGTTCTATTTATACATTTGATTATGTACATATGTCTGCTGCTGTTTGCTTACATAAAAACCATTGTTTATGCCCCTTACTCATAGGAAAAATCAGTAAAATCTCACTGGGGCCCAAGGGATCCCCCGTAATCCCCATATGTTCATGTGTTGTTCCATGGAGTAAATCGAATATGAGGGAGGCTGATCCTTTTGCTGGGTCAGTTATGTAAGAAGTGTTTTGGGTATCCAAGATATTGTATGCTATACATACAAGTGGCAACTTGACAACAGAGGTAAAAATGTGCAGAGTAACTTTGTCCTTTTGAGATTATATAATTGGATGTTCAAATATTTGCTCTAGAAATTTAGAGGAAGCTTTCTGCTTCTTAATTACTACTTGAAAATTACATTCTGCTTTTAGAAAAATGGAAACAGATGTAGTGAGAAAACTCCAGTGCATGCATTTTGTACACCTAATAAACAATGCTGGCAGTAATTTGTCAGAAACAGACTCATCAAAGTGGCTAACTGAAGTATATTAATGGACCTGATCAGCAGCTCTATCCATCACAGAAGGAGACAAAACAATCAATACATTTTGCATGTGTTTTATTCCAGATTCATTACAGAAGTCTTTTAGATCTGGATAATCTTTATGAAAAATATATTTCTTTAAATTCACTGTACACAGGATGCTTGTGCTTTCTTGTACAAACAAGGACCCTCTAACTTTCTTGGGAGTGGGCCTGGAGAAGATGAGGAAATATTTCTCATGTTGCCTGACAGAAATCAGCAAAGAATTGTTGCTCATTTATATTGCCTTTCAAGAGCTTAGAAGCTTGACAAACATTAATTAATTCTGCCAGCATGCAGCGTTGTTAAACATATTTTACCCAAGAGTAAACTGAGACATGAAGGAATAAGCAATGAATCTGTGACAGAGATAGTAGAAAACCAGGAGTGTTGAATCCTAGTTCATGCCTACAAGATTTGCATCACATGTCTGTCATAAACCACTACTGCAGATGAATGTATTTAGCAACAACATAGCTCAATGACCAAATTTTTAGCATTATTGAATCATCCTCTAACTTATCTAACCTGCTTTATAATTCATTCAAGAGGAAATCAAAAGTCTCTGGTTATATTTCCTTCTGTTAACACACTAGTTTGCACAGTGCAAACACTATATAAAAGGGAAAATTGGTACTGCTCAAAGAGCAATTTAGGTCTACAAAGACAAAATTTTTGAGGTTTTGCTGGGAAAAAAGTCACCCAAAATGCATTTGATGCATGAATCTCACTTAAACAGGAAAGAAGTAGTATGCAAAGGATCAGTGAGTAGGCATAGTGCAAGCTGAAGACAGCTCTTATTCTCATCTCAAACCTACTACATTGCTCCTACACTGTGGCTTGTTAAAGCTTGCAGATCAAACTTATGCAATTGAGTAGTGTTGTCCTGAAGACAAGTGGTCCTAGGCTAATATATACACAGCAAACTGTTTGGTAAGTTGCAATTTGCTGATTTTTTGGTTGCATCTACACATGCAATTAATATGAAGCAATAAACACTGGAGCAGTTTGAGCTGGAGTAAACTCCTCCCAGGCATAGTGTCTACACATACACTCAGGACAGTTTGAATGATTTGATTTGGGGCTAGTATGGGCTGCAAGACCTCTGTATCCTGGGCTATATTGGCAGATAGACTAAGGCACAAGTCCTTACTGCTTACATTTACAGCACTTTTGTTTGCAAGCAGCGACAACCACAGACCCCTGTATACTGATGGGCCAGCTACTGGAAGGGCAGAAAGTCTACTGACTAGGAAGGGGAAGAGAGTGGAATAATCATTTCCCTTGATTTGCAAGTGACATTTTCTGTTAATGTAAATCCCAGTATGATATTGCAATATTTTTTTTTGCAAGAGCACACTGTTGGCTTATATTCAGCTTATGGTCTATTGTCTCCAGGTCTTTCTCACTAGAAGGGTGGTGAAGCACTGGAATGGGCTACCTAGAGAGGTGGAATCTCCATCCTTGGAGGTTTTTATGGCTCAGCTCAACAAAGCCCCAGCTGGAATGGTCTAGTTGGAGATAGTCCTGCTTCTAGCAGGATTTGGACTAGAGGAACTCCTAAGTTCCCTTCCAGCCTTAATTTTCTATGTTTCTATGATTCTTCTCAAATTGTCTGTATTCTTCTTGAAGTGTGGGCAAAACTGGACACACTGCTCCAGGTGAGGCCGTACCAGCACTAAATAGAGTGGACTAATCATTTCCTTTGATTTGTAAGTGACATTTTCTGTTAGTGTAAATCCCAGTATGATATTGCCATTTTTTTTTGCAAGAGCACACTGTTGGCTTGTATTCAGCTTATGGTCTATTGTCTCCAGGTCCTTCAGCCTCCACAGTACTTCAGCCTAGCCACTTATTCCCCAGTCTGAATTTGTGCATGCAATTATTCTGTCCAAAGTGCAGGACTTCACATTTGTCCTTTTTGAATCTCATCTGAGTGCTTGCAGACCATTTCTACAGTCTGTCCAGTAGGGCTGCGCAGAACGGCACTGTTTCATTTTGCCTTCCATTTCAACGTTTCGAGGGGACAGTGTTCTAAGTTTTGTTTTGTTTCGAAAGCACTGTTCCGTTTCGTTTTGTCGAAACTGTTTTGCTGTTTCAACGCTGTTTTGACGTTTTGCCCATAGGCTATAATGGGGAAGCACAAAACTGCCTATAACCTTGTCATTTCTTGGCAGATTTTGATGATAACAGCAGAAATAGTAGCCCCTTCTGAGGGCATGAGGCCTGCCGAGTTTCAAGGACATAAGTACAAGGGTTTCTGGGAAAATGCACCTCAAATTCTTGAAAGCAAAACTTGTGTCACTTGAAAAATGTACTAGTAATATATGAAAGGAGCTCACTTGATATCCTAACAGGCAGATTATTTTTAGTCTGTTTATTCTAAAAACAAATCTGTTTTCTTCTTGTTTATTTTCAAGGTTTATATTACGTTACTTTATTTAGCAATGGCAAGGAGCAAAAAAGTAAACAGATATAACTGACTCACAGTGGCAAAGGAACAACATTTTGGGTCACATTGAAAGACAGACAGATTTAGGCAACTAAACTCATAGCTACCTCTGTTTTTAATATTAAGGTTTTCCAGGTACATAGATAGAGCTCTGCTTCTGTACATGCCCACAGGTACTTCAGTCTTGATGACACTGCAGAGCTTGGTGTCTAGAAGAAACCTAAACCCTATCAAGATCTACAAACTAGACATTCCTCTGTCTAAGGCCCTAAGGATCTCAACTGAGGAGTCATTCTCTGAGATATACTTACTGGCTCCATATAAAGTGGTATCCACTATGTTTTAAACTATAGGAGGTGGAGAGGTCTATGTCTCTATAAAACAGTAGTTTATATGAAACAGTCCTTGGAGCAGGAACTGGAAACCAGGTCTCTTCCAGCAAGTCAGGTGCCCTGACTAGCAGCCAACAAAGCAAACTAAATAAGTCACAGTGGAACAACTTCAACCAATAGGATGGGTGGAAGATGTTTCCTCCACCCCTGGAATTGGCTGTAGTCTGGGCATGAGGACACTTTTCAAGGAAGTGGGGAACGTGGTTTGAATCCCCTCAGGCTGAATTAATCCCTAAGGTCCTGAGTAAAATGCCTAAACTCCAGAGAGGGCTTGAATTTCCGACACTTCCATGTTCTCAGAATTTCCTGTTTGTTAGCATTAGGTGGGTCTTAGTTCAGTGTGTGGATTTGAGGCAGATCCCTACACAGTATGGATACCATTGTAGGATGCCTATCTCTATGGTGTGTTCTGTATATGGAACCTGGGTACCTAATACAGGAGTATGGGTTTCCTTTCTGAGGACACAAATGTATACGCAAGGGGTTGCAACACTCACCATTGTGGCATCCAAATCCATTTTAGATCTAGTTGCTAGTGTTAATCCTTACACATACGGTATATACTGACTACAAAACTCATGCATTTACTCTGCCTAGTTACTTATACTGCAAAAAGCAGCGTATAAAACATTTACCATATTTGAATTCTCTATTCACACTAGTGTCATGTTGGAGACCCACTCTGCACAGGTTTAATTGTCCTCAGAACAGTGGAAACCTATGTCTCAGCTTGGAATACAGTCATGGATCATATATTTCTGTTGTCAAGTCCTGTTAAATGAAGTTAAAACTATAGATGGCTAGTTCTGTTTTACTGCAATATACCTTTCAATTTGAAAAAAAATGATCAAATAACAATTATTGTGAAATCTTGTTTAAAAAACAAAAAAAACAAAAGAAAAAACCCTGAAGTAAACGAAATTACGCCAGCCTTTATAACATCAGTATTTGTGTACAAAAGAGTATGCCGATACTGCACATACCCATAGGACCCTACAAGCCATAAATATTTTATGAGTGTTTTTTTGTACTGTGCTATTGAAATACGATGGTAAAATTTTAAATAGCAAAAATATTTGGAAAGGAACATGGACTAAATCAAAATAGTTTAAGAAAGGAATATAAGCTCCACTCATAGATCCATGTAAATCTGAGATGAAAAATATCTATTGGATCCCTTTCTACTTTTCTCTTTTACTTTCTTATTTTGGAGTATTCAGTCCAGGTTTAAATAACTCTAGCATGGAGCTTTCGTTGCTATCCAGGGAGAGTATTTCACAACATGATAGATGTTACTGTTGGGAAGGTCTTTTGATATCCAACCTAAATATTTCTTTGCACAGTTTTATTTTAGTGCTTCTAGTTCCTTAGAGCCCCATCTGCTATAGCTACATTGAGGAAAAGAGAGTATACCAATTTAAAGAAGCTAAGGTGATGTGGTCCACAATGCCTCTCTATATCACTTCAAGCAAGTTATCTTTTTGCTTTCATGTTTCCTTCTTTACATACTAGGAGTGCAGGCTCTGTCCTCAAGCCATAGAATCCTTCAAACTGACTGTGCATTTTTCATTCTTTTAAAATGTTCCTATGAATTAAGTCTGTAAATATTTTATAAATAGTTACTGCTACATTTTGATTTCCCTCTAATTGATAGTTTCAGAATTATTTTTGGGTTTGTTACTTTTGACATACTAGAAACCTTTTCTTAGTAAAAAATGACAGTTTTACAGAAGTAAACATGTTGAACAGTGCACCACAGTGTTCCTAACTGCTGTGTTAGTAGTCATAATATATAGCTGTTCTAAGGAAACAGTGATATACCAGCCCAGTACATTGCCTCAACTTGGAAATAACAAAATAAATGAAAACCTGATGCCTGGCATTTAGCAGACAGTTATTTAACATTGGCTTGGAGCAGGGGGTCCAAATGATTTAGGTAATGGAAGTGGTGTGGATTTACCTATCCCAAAGCGATTAACTGTTGGGATAATTTTTTTACCTAGAAACTGCAAAGTATCATTAATGGTTTAACTCAGGGGGTCAACAATTTATGGCCTGTGGGCTGGATCCAGAACACAAAGTTATGATCTGGTCCACATTTTGCTAAGAGCATGCCAATCCCCAGACATTTAATCTAGTCCATGGTTTGCTAATGGCATGACTGTCTCCTCTGGCTTCTCCAGCTTGCATGGAGGGGGGCTGTTTCTCATTGCAGCCTCTGCTCCACGGTCTGCTCGGAGACTGGCAGCAAATTTTGGCCTGTGTTAGTAAAAGATAGCCAGCCCATGGCTTATCTTGTTTCCGTATCAAATGGTTGATGCATAGTTTAGAAATGCTTACAAGTTAGGGTGAATTTTTCACTTCGTCCATTTTAGATGCATAGTACATCAGTTCCACTGAAGCTGATTTACTTTTAATCTGGTTTCCATTTTTACAGGATAGATACGTTTTCTGGGAACTCATAGACTATAAGTATGTAGAAATTATATTCTTTTAAAATACAATTAATCAAAGTGCAGGAATTTTGGTGTAATATTTAAAAAGTAATTGTTATTTTTAGAATAATAGGTGAAAAGGATCCTGGAGCAATTGCTGAGGTAAGACCAGAAATGAATTTGGATATTTTTTCCTTTCTATAACAGGCAAGGAATAAGGGTTGTGCTATATGGCAGATGGCAGACTACAAATATATTTTGCTACTACTTACATTAATTTTCACCAAGTGTCATAAACTTGAAATCTGGTGAGAGAAAGAAAAATGAAGAATAGTTTATATAAAGAGTTAAGCAAGAATTGATAGATGTTTTGTTAGTTATTCAGTTGTATAGTCGGTCAAGTCAATATATATGCCCTAAACATGGTTTATCACCATACATAATACTTTCTACTGATTTTATAACCATCCAAAATATATCACTCATACTTCATAAATCTATTAATTAATAATATAATAAACTATTTATAAATATATCTTAAACTAGAAATATGAGCGAAGTCTCCCAAAATATTGCCTTTTCATAGAATTCTGCTGATATGCTTATCAAAACATGTTACCTTTCTCCACTTTCTTGGTAGCACAGTAATCACAGCCACTGTACCACACCATTGAAAGTCCTCTTCTCACCATAATCAGAGAGGCTTAGAAGCATGACAGCAAACATAAATGGAAAAAATAAAAATGAAATGAAAAATGGATAAGTTAAGAGGTACTCAGTAAACATAGCACACCTGGGAAAACTGAGAGGCTAAAACAAATGGTGGTAACCATGCCAGACCAAGACTGTTAAGTAATTTAACAGTGAGAAAAATGATGTCATAGACACATGGGCAGATCCAGGATTTCAAAACATGGGGTGCAGGAGCAGCAGGCACCTGCTTCTGCTGTCCGCAGCTGAGCCCAGATTGCCCATGCAGCCTGGACGGAGCAGGGCAGGAGCAGCTCTAGAGCTCCCTCTGCCGCTAAGTCAGCAAAGGACAGTGTCAGCAGTGAGTGGAGCAGGCGGGATGGAGAAGGGAGGTGAGGTCCTGCTAAGCATGGAGGGAAAAAGAGGAGGTATGGCAGATGCACAATTCTCTTTGAACACTTAAAGTCCCTGGCTGCTGTTCCTATAACATGGTTCAAAAGGCAGGTGAGGCTGTGCTATTTCACTGCTCCTGGATGGACAAAGTCTTTAGAAACAACTATGTTGTTCAGAAAGCAGCTTCTTATTGTTGTAGACCTATGTTTCTTTAAAACAGCTGCTGAAGAACATAGAGTATTTTACATTAAACAAAAAATAATGTTATAGTCTCAAAGACAGCAAATATCTTCTGATTATGGCTTTTTGTGTTTTTGTCATCCAGACAATGGTGGTCATTTCATATAATTTTAATATAAACATACAGTGGTGACCCAAACAAAACTGTGATTATAACAGGGAACATTGTGTAAGGTTTATACAAATATTTCACAAGTTGCTTCATTTAAATTTTAAGAGCATCAGATTATTGAGATAACAACTATTAGCATCTTTACCAATGGCATTCCAAAACTTGTGATAGTTTATAGCCTTAACTTTTATCATACAGTGCATTATGGAAAGAATGGCACACATGAAAATCAATTCACTTGTTCATTTGTTAATGCTCTGATGACTTCTTTAATTTGTAGATTAAAATATATCCCCGAGTCTTTGTATTATCAGTGGCAAACGTCACATAGTACAAATGCGTGGCATTACATGGACTTTGCAGCAGGTCACAACAATGTGGTCTTTTGTTTCACAATCTCAGAAAATTCTGTTTGGGATGGAGTAGTTCACATATTATGAATGTAATAGACATTGACTTTGGTTTGTGCTGGCGGGTACTTGCAGACATAAAAAAATAAGCTTTTTACTTTAAACTCAGCATGTTTCTGCACCGAGCCCCATGCATGCCCAGAAGAGGCAGCACGTTACTTCAACTCAGCTCTGCAGCATCTGTAAAGATCAGGCACTTTAGTGGGGTTGTTTTTGGTGCTTTTAATAGCTGATTGACTCAGCTTTGCCTAAAACTGCCAAAAAGCCACGCTGAAGCACCTGATCTTTAGACACTGCAGAGCCAGGTTGAAATAATGCACTGCTTCTTCCAGTAAAGAGAGGTTTTTTGCTTTTTTTTTTTAAATGTCTGCAAGCAGCCATGGCTGTGCCTCGTGGGTGCTGAGCACCCACTATTTTTTTTTTTGATGGGTGCTTGAGTCCCAGGGAACCCAAAGAGTCAGCATTTATGCTGAATGCTTCTAGTAGAAGGACCTGTGATAAAGATTTTATACTTTAAAATGAGAAAATAGAACATACACATGAAGAGTCACTATTCTCAGTGTGCACAACTCAACTCCAGCCAATATGTTTTTGCTCACTAAAGAAAGCAATCCCCATTATACTTTATTATAGTATTTTAACAAGACCACTTCAGGCAAATTCTTTGATTAAATCCTCTCTATTGAAAGCAATGACAACATTCCCTTAAATTCAGTGGTAATAGAACCAGTGGGCACCTATATAGGAGCAGCAAGGCTGCTGTGATGTGCTGTAATTGACTCAGTGTGTCAGAGAAGACTTGATTAATCGAGTCTGCTGGAACATGGTAATTACCACATTCCAGCAGACTCCAGCATCTAGTGTATCAGCATCCCTACATTGAAAAATGGTGGCAGGGGCACTTTAACTAAAGCTTGTTCAACAAGATTTAGTTAAAGCACCCCTGCCACCATTTTCCAGCATGGGGATGCTGATACAAGAGATGCTCTGGGTGCTTTAACTAGAGCCCCCCCCTTACCCCCACTCCTGAAGCTCGTGTATAAATGTCCAGTGTTCCCACCCCTATTCTCCATTGCATCAGAATAAATTCAGAAGGACATCATTTATTTTAATGGAACTATTTAGATTTAGATTTCTATATCTGAGATCAGAATATGACCCTTAATTGTGCCATACTCCTGAACTCATAGGAAATGACTGCTCTGGGTTGCTATTGAAATTGGGTTTGTTTCAGTAGGATACAATGCTGTTCAGTATTTTTCAGGTTTAAATTCTCAAAACTGGAGATTAAAAATCTGAATAGTCTAGGAAACTTTCTTTAATGGATTAATCCAAGTGATTATTATATTTGTGAGGGGAAAAGAGCAGGGCAAGAGAACCCCCCGAGAGACCCACATGGAGAACATTTATATCAGGTGCAGCCAGATGCCTGGCCAGAGTGGGAAACATGCTGCCACATTTCTGCAGCATGGGCTCCCTGTGGATAGTGGGGCAGTCAGCGGAGGACTATGTCTGGTGGATGGAGACAGCGGTGGGAGTCTCCCATGCCAGCAGATGCTGAGGCCAGTGGCAAGAGAGGAGGATGGATCCTCCCTGTTAAGTGGTCAGAGGACTGATGACAAAACTTCAGGACCCACCAAGACAGGAATCCCATGAAGATGGCTGACCAATTTTAAAGAGCAGAACCGCCCTGAAAGCAGTCCATGAGTCCAGGGGCATGGCCCCAGTGATTTCTTTATGCTCCTTTTCTTTTATTCATTCTCTTAGTGAGTAGGGACCGTGCTTCCCTTACCTGGCCTGGGGGTAAGGCGACTGGAAGGAAAACTCCCCTCCTGAAAGAATCCAGGGAGGTCCTCACCCTGAGGAGCCAACCCAGGGAGCAGGGATCAGCAAGAAGGGTTTTTTTTTCCATGCGAAGAGCAGAGCCATCCTTACAGGGGCAGTGGCCCCATTGATTTTTTTTTTTGGCTGTCTGTTTAGCTAGGGGATTGGGGCCACTGATAGATTAAGATGGGCTGAGAACTGAGAGATGCTTTAAGTTCATTTTTTCTCTTTTTTCCCCCCCTTTTGTTACCCTCTGGATTATATAATTGGGTTCCTAATTGCCAACCTGGACTGAATAACCTCAGAATCTGGGAAACTCTTGATTTAAGGCCATTGGCCTAGTGGACTTGTAGGGCTGATCTCATTTTGGAAAGATTCACAGCTCAAGTGGGGCTGGGCTTTGGAAGATGGCCTTAGGTGGCCTGAGTAAAAGGGGTATAAACTTCTGGGTATGCCTTGGGTCCTTCAGCATTTAGCTGTCAGCAGCATCAGGGTGATACAATACTTAAGCCCTCATGTAGGGAGTCCAGGATGTGGTAAGGGTGGGGTGTGAGGGGAGGCAGAGCCCCATAAAGGAACTTCTCAAAAAAGGGACCCATTAGGACCTTTGCCAACCCCACATCCAGCTCCCAATAATTAAAAGTACATCAAGACATAGCAGGTGAGAGAAGAATATTGCTAGTTGGTGTTGGCAGTACTGTCTGGTGACCCAAAGGCTTACCAAGTAAGATGCCGGGCAGACACGGGCCGCAGCCATTCAGCACCTATCCCTGACAATATCCAGTGGATTGCTGTCATGAAAATTAATTCTCATGTTGGTGGCTATATTACTTGAAAAACCGTATCAAATTAACATTGTTGAAAAACCTGATATTACAGATATTTTGGTCTATTCTTCTGCACAAGATTATCTGCTGTTATGGCTTTCACTGTTTAAAATCCAGTATTATAGCTACAATGATGGTATAAAGCACAGTGTCTCCTTTATTTATCAAACTCTCAGGGCTATGTGTCATAAGTTTTATAACAAAGCCTAAACAATGAAATGTGTGTCACCTGGCCATCCCTGTGAAATACTTCAGATCTTGTAAACACTCTATCTCTTGCAACACTTACTTGGAAGTTTTGTAATACATTTTAAAGGTTTTCATATAGATAATCAAATACATCTAACACATTGCTGTTCTAATTTTACAGTGAGAGTTGGATGTTAAAGCTGTTAGTACAACCCTGAGAGTTTTTCCTGACACACAAAGCTTTTGCTACATTCTATGTCTTTTGCTTTCGTGGTAACTCATATTTGGAAGAATCTTAGTAAATGTATAACCCCTGAAGATTTAGACGAGTGAAGCTAATTTGCTTATGATGTAGATAGCCTTGATTCTTTTATTTTACATTTCTAAAGGATATACAGATTGAAAAATTTGCCCAGAAGGCTTTGACGTCCATTGGGTTTTCTAATCGGCAGCTTGATATTTGCAGAGAAAAGGGCATGCTGTATATGGTAATTATAGCTCTGAATCTTAAGTCTCAATGGGTGCATCTACACAAGATGCTACTAAGCAGTGGTTAACGTGCATTTGTTTAGTACTTGATTATACAAGTAAATAAATAACGATATATGCAAGAGAATTCCTCTGCAGAGGATTACACTGAGGGCACCAGCAAGCACATAGTGGGTAACTCTCATAGAGGGATTCCTCCCCTCCCCACCCATGTATGCAGGTGTCTACAGGGAAATTTTCTTATTATATCCTGGATTAACTCATAATGTCTCTTAACGGTGTATCCTTTGAGAACAGCTACCGTTTTCTTATAAATCAAACATATGAGCTTTCCTTTCTCTATGAGAGCCTCCATTTCAGCATATAAATAAATAAATGCACAGTAACTGGAGTTCCTGCATAGTAGCTCCAGCAAATCTTTTTTAAGTAATGCTACTGCACAGTAGTCTAATAATACTTCATAGTAGCATATTAGCACTATTGTGATGTACTGTTGCACAGTATTATTTGGCTACTGAGCAGTCAGCATCTCGCACAGATGCACCCACTATTGACATAGGCAATTTTCCAATAATGTACTTCAATCATTGATATTGATATCAAAGTTCCCACTTTTAACACTAACTAGTCAGAAGCTTGAC